AAACCAAACAAAACCAAATCTCTCCATGTAGCCCTGGCTGGCCTCTCCTGCCTCCAGAGTGCTGGGATTAAAGGATTTGAACCAGCCACGAAGTTTCAGTCGACTCACCATGTGCTTTGTAAGGCCACGGTTCACCATGACTACGTTCTTAGCCAGGTGCTGCATAACCGGCAGAAGGGATTCCTCAGTGTAGGATAGGTAGTGCTGCAGAGTTGGTGTCTAAGACAACAAAAACATGTTAAAACACCAGCTTTCTAGATGCTATTCAAGAGCCGGGCAGAGGACTGTGTATGGCAATCACAACTGAAATTTAAGTCATCTCTGCCCAGGTATGCTTCTCCAAGAGCCTGTGATCTAATCTAACCCCAGCATTACAGCTGCTGGCTTCTCAACCCCAAGGTCAGGACGGCATCTGGTACATAAGAATGCGAATGGGTTTCTTAGACCATTTGGTGTAGCTTCCATGTGTGCAAGAGTTAATAGACTCCAAAAGGGTGTTGTCATAAAGATTAGAAGCCTAAGAAATGGAAGCATGCATTTCACATTCCTATTTAGGAAGCAGGAGACGAGTCAGTTTTAAGGGCTGAATGGTGCATTCAAAGGCTGTTTACAGTGGAAACGCTTGGTGGTTTGCAGATGGCTTACCCATTCACCGTTGTCGAGAATTTTCAGTGCTAAGCAGAAAGCTCCAGCTGCAATTTGCGAAGGAGCAAAGTGCACCATGTCGTAGTCCAACATAGTGAGCTCCATGAGGTATTTGGCCAAAGTATGCTGTTCAACGTCAACCTGGAATAGATCCATACACACTGAGCTCTTTTGCAGAATTTTATTTTGGCAATAACTTACATAGAAAGCCCTATCTATGATTATAAACTCTAATACAACGGTCCAAAGACGGCCTTAAGAGTAACCGTGTTGCCAGGCAGTGGTGGTGCATGCCTTTAATCTCAGTACTTGGGAGGCAGAGGCAGGTGGATGGATCTCTGTGAGTTCGAGGCTAGCCTGGACAACAGAGTGAGTTTCAGGAAAGGCACAAAGCTACGCAGAGAAGCCGGGCGGTGGTGGTGCACGCCTTTAATCCAAGCACTCGGGAGGTAGAGCCAGGTGGATCTCTGTGAGTTCGAGGCCAGCCTGGTCTCCAAAGCAAGTTCCAGGAAAGGTGCAAAGCTACACAGAGAAACCCTGTCTCGAAAAACCAAAAGGAAAAAAAAAAGCTACGCAGAGAAACCCTGACTCGAAAAACCAAATTTAAAAAAAAAAAAAAAAAGAGTAACCATGTAATATGCAGCCTGATTTAGAGATAGCCCTATCAGATCTCCATTAGTAAACTGGGGAAGGAGAGGGGCAAGAGAGGGAAGGAGATGAGGGATAAGAACATGAGGGAATTAGATGGCCAAGCTGGGTGAGGAACAGAGTGTAAGAGCAATGAAAGAGATCTCGATAGAAGGAGACATCATGGGGTTAGGGAGAAACCTGATACGAGAGAAATTCCCAGGCATCCACAAGGACAACCCCACCCAGATTAGACTACTAGCAATAGTGGTGAGGGTGCCTGAACTGGCCACCCTTGTAATCAGATTGGTGAATACCCTAACTGTCACCATAGAGCCTTTATCCAGTAACTGATGGAAGCAGATGCAGAGATCCACAGCCAAGCACCAGTCCAAGCTCTGGGAGTCCAGTCAAAGAGAGGGAAGAGGGATTATAAGGGTGTGTGTGTGAAGATCATGAAGGGGAAATCTATAGAGACAACTGAACCAAGCTCATAGAACTTACGAACTTTAGACTGACAGCTGTGGAACCTGCATGGGACTGGGCCAGAACCTCTGTATACAGCAGATAGCTGTGTAGCTTTTTCTGTTTGAGGGGCCCCTGGTAGTGGAATTAGGATCTATCCCTAATAGAACTTGCTTTCGGGATCCCATTACCTATGGTGGGATGCCTTGCTCACGCTTGATGCAGTGGGGAGGAGCTTGGTCCTGCCTCAACTGAATGTACCCCCATGGGAGTCCTTATCCTTCTGGAGGAGGGGATTAAGGGTGGGTAGGTGGAGGAGGAGGCAGTGGAGAGGGGGATCTGTGGTTGGCAAATAAAATGAATACATATTTTTAAATAAAAAATATAGCAAAACAAAGATTTCAAGTAATGTGTACCTCTCCGATTTTAGACGCTCTACGGAGGAAGTGCAGAGGCAGAGGGCGACCCAAACTGAAGTTTAGAACTCTAAGAATCTTCATTTCCATCTGTCTGATCTGGTGCTTAGTGTAAGTATTGTTAGTCACAAACGCGAAGTCACCTATTTCTGGAGGGTACATTTCTTCATATTTGCTGGCAATAAACATGGCAGTCACACCAACCAGCTGCAGCATCTTCTTGGGCACACAATTATCCTGCAATTGGAATTTCAGTCAACAACATGTACTTCAGCATCTCCCTGGAAAGATGTTAGTTTCAGGCTCAGTGGCTAAGGTGCCTGCTGACCATGTGTGGGACCCTGGATTCAGCTGGAAGTGTCCCTTCCCCTCCTCCAAGGTTCTCACAGAACTCACCAATAGAGAACTCTCAATTACTGGATTACACATACCTGCATGAACCGGTCAATAATGGAGACAGTCATGTACATGGTCTCCTGCAGCAGCCTAAATTTCATCTGAACCTGTATCAGCCAGTCAATTAGGATGGCTCTCATGTTTCCAGTGATTTCACGGCCCATTAGGTATTTTGGTCTGACTGACTGTTCTTCCTGCAAAAGAAAATGTCAGTTATCCATTTGTGACTATAAAGACCAGTTTAACTAACAGTTAACAGCTCGGGGGCAAAACTTCACTAAGAGAGCAAGGATCAGAATAGCATGACAGGCCTTTCGTACTGTTGGGATATTGTGACATGCCATTAACCAGTGGTACCGCAGGCCCACAGCCTGCACCTATCACCACCTCGGATCAATATAGACCTTATTAATCTCCACTCAAGATTAATAATATAGAACCTGAGCTTTGTGATATAGAAAAAATAGTTTTAGATCATCTAGAATCTTGCTCAAAGTTATAAACTCAAAACACCAACATGGTTTGAAGAAAAGAATAAGGACAACTATGTTCAACTACCAAACTGAGTTCTGCAATAGAAAAAAACCCAAAACCTGAAGTATTAACAAGAATTAAACAGCAGACAGCCTGCCTGGACAGATATCCTACTGAAGACTTCTTTAGAAAACAGATGTCAAAAGGAAGGGGAGCCAGCAAGATGGCTGACTTTCTCTTCAATCCCCAGAACCCATGTAAAGGTGGAAGGAGAACCAATCTTGAAAGTTGTCCTCTGACCACCCCCTCCCAGGCACACCCACACCACCCAGTCACAGAGGACAAAGTTAACCCGAGAAGACAACGCTGAGGACATAGTTCAGTGGGAAAGTACCCGCTTAGCATGCACAAGGTATTTGTTCCCGGGACACTGGGTGGCAATCCAATAAAACTACATTAAAGAACTGTCTTGTTTAAAGAATTGAAAGGGAAATAAAGTTTCCCAAGTGGGCCACGTTGACAAAACCAACAACTTCCATTTTTCTGAGTGTGCTCCTTTTGGGCAAACAGTAGTCTCCCTGATGGGCACAAGCACACTGACAAAAACGCCTAGTGCTGGGACAGCTGTAATGCTTTAGCATTCTCATCTACCTCCTCCTCCAACCCCCGAGTCTTTTCCCATCTGTGATGTGTGTGTCTACTCTATAAGAGTCATGGTAGCATCTCCCCAACACAGAAATTTTGTATTCAATGTGGCAGGTCCACTTCATGGAGTTAGTGACTATTTCTACTGTTTCAAAACAGAACTTCAAGTGTTATCTTTTGTCAAGAAATGTCATGTGTGCTGTTGATAAAAATATCTGAGTTTAATTGCTAAGTTGGTGGTGCACAACTTTTTGAACCTAGCCTGGTCTACAGAGCCAGTTCCAGGACAGCCAGGGGCACACAGGAAAACCGGGTCTCAAAAACAAGAAAACGGTTTTTAATAAACCTAGCTGCATTTAGTACAAGCAGACTACCAGTAATACTGACCTCCAGTTGTCTGAGGTAGGCATATATGTCTTTCACATATTCACTGCAGAGGTTTGGATCAGCTCCATCATCTGCATCCACATCACTCACGGCAAGAATTACATCAGAGAAAGCCTGACACAGATATTCTTCTGCAGGGGCACATCCAGATGTTTCCATTGGGCTTGGAGAGGCGTTATCAACCTTAAAAAAGAGAGACCCCATGAAACAAAGAGAAGCCCATGCTACAGTCTAGGAAGGAAAGTCAGTATCGGTATCCTCACAGTCCAAGAAACTATTCTGAATAAATGTAATTCATTTTATTAATGAAAAAGCAGTTCAGATCTTTCTTCAAATTTCCTTTTGGAAAATGATTAATATTAAAAGTAAATACTGGGGGGCTGGAGAGACGGCTCAGTGGTTAAGAGCACCGAATGTTCTTCCAGAAGTCCTGAGTTCAATTCCCAGCAACCACATGGTGGCTCACAACCACTTGTAATGAGATCTGGTGCCCTCTTCTGGCCTGCAGGCAGAATACTGTATACATAATAAATAAATATATCTTTAAAAAAAAGTAAATACTGGGCTGGAGAGATAGCTTAGCTGTAAAGAGCACTTGCTTTTGCCAAGGGCTGGAGTCCAGTTTCTATGCAGGAACCAGGTGACTCACAATTCCAACTCCAGGATAAGACTCCCTCTTCTGGCCTCCTTGGATGCTGCACTCAAGTGCAAATCCCAGCCCAGCCCATGAAAAATACATCTTGTCTGGGCAAGTAATCTCATTACTCAGGAGGCAGAGAGAGGCAGATCTCTGAGTTCCAGGCCAGCCTGGTCTACAGAGCTAGTTCCAGGACAGCTAGGGCTGTTACACAGAGAAACATTGTCTCAAAAACAACAAAACAAAAAAGAAAAATAAATCTTTTTTTTTTCCCCCTGGAGCTGAGGATGGAACCCAGGGCCTTAAGTGCTCTACCACTGAGCTAAATCTCCAACTTAAAAAAACATAAATCTTAAAAAAAAAAAAAAAAAAAAAAAAAAGGATACTTGGGAGTCCCAGCACTTGGGAGGCAGCGTTCTGTGCATTGAAGTCAGCCAGGGATGCATAGTGAGATCTGGACTCATAAAAAAAAAAGTTAAATTTCAATTTAGACTAAGCCAATTTAAAATAGACGTGGGCAAGACCGCTAAAGGTGCCTGTTTGCCAAGCCTAACAACTTGAGTTCAACCACCAGGACCCACGTTATGGAAGAGCTGATTCAAAAGGTGTCTTCTGACTTCAAGTATGCACTCACACACAAAATACCATGTTAAAAAAAAATGGGGGGGGGGGCCCTTGGGGGCTGGAGATGGCTCAGCTATTGAAGAGCCCTTGCTGCTCCATCATGAGGACCAGAATTCAGATCCTAGTACCCACACTGGGTGACACCCACACCCATGTGAAGCAAGTCAAAGGAAAAATGGATAGGTAATAAAGCTCTTCACCAGCACCAGGTGGAGTTAATTCAAACAATGACAAGTCTTTAATCTTTCTTCAGGTGAATACAAGCTCTTTCCTGATCACAAACATCAGAGGAAGTGACATATAAACTGATAGAGCTGTGCTATTTATTAGCTCAGGCCGGCCCTTTAAATACTCCCGCTAGGACTCCAGACATGCACCATCTCACCTAGTAGTAAAATGTGGTGAGCATGTGTGCGCACTCAAGGACTGAATGAACTGGGGGCCTCCTACGTACAGAACATGCTCTAACAGAGAAAGCTGGACAATCCCAGCCAAAACTTTATTTTTAGGCTTAAAGCGGTAACCCACCATTTCTTTTTTTCCTTTTGAAACAGGGTCTCACTATATGTTGCTCTGGCTGGCCTGGACCATGCTATGTAGACCAGTCTGGCCTTGAACTCAAGAGCTCCATCTGCCTCTGCTCCAGAGTGCAGGAACTAGAGGCTGCACCACCATACACACTATTTAACTCATCTTATTTTCTGTCTGGAAAGACTCCTTTTACTCTTTAGTGGCCATATTAGGGAGTAGAAGATTCATTCATGAACACATCTATGTTTCATTCAGTTAATTCCAGAGTTAGAATTACAGAACTACCACAAAAATCTGCTTCAGGAAGCTTCACATAAGAAAGCAATGAAAAAACCTGGCCTGGTCGCACCATCCCAGCACGGAGAGGTGGGGGGCAGAGGAATCTCAAGTTCAGTGTCAGTGTAGGCAACCCTGACACAAAACGGGAAAAGGATGGTGCCCACCTTTCTCAGGAGGCAGTCAAACCCGAGTTCCAGGCCAGCCAGGAACTGTGAGACCCTGTCTGTGCGCGCACAGACACACACACACAGAAACACTTATCCTCTACCATCTGAATTACAGCTACCCCAGAGTGTGTTCATGCACATAAAAGGGTTTTGCTAAGCACACAATAAATACCAGATAGATACTCAAACACTACTGTGTGCATCAGAGTGAAATGAGGTCAGAGAAGAGACTTTTTTAAATGCTAGGTTTACCAAAATAGGTTCAGGAGAAAGCTTTCCTTCCATAACAGGTTCAGGCTCGGGCTCGGGTTCAGGCTCCGCAAGTTCCACTTCTGGCTCACTCACAGGCACCTTCTCCAGAAGTTTTGGTGGGATTTTAGCTGACACCTTCCCAGCAACTGAAGTTTTTAGTTCCTGAGGACGGAATGGAGGAAATACGATGTTTTTACCAAGGCTGACAGCTGGAAGACGGGCTCTTTCAGGGTCGATGGGCCAGGAAGATAGTTACCTTTTTCAGAGGCACTCTCGCCTGAACCTGTTCGCTGACTTTGTTACCAATATCTCCGAGCGCGGTTCTTGGTCTCAGCCCGGGCTTGGAGGCCGCAGCAATTGCCACAGGCACACGCTTGGCGCCTGCCATGCTGACCTTGGCCTTATTCTCTGTGTTAATTTTCGTGTTCTGAAAAAAGTTAGACCACTTGAGAAAGGATCCACGGCGGCTCCAGGAAGTCAAGGGTTAAGGCGGGACCCAACTGAGGCTCCCAGTAGGAAAGCCAGGGCTCTAGGGTCTAGCCTCCGGCCATGACACGCCAAGTTTCCACCCAGATTTTCCACATTCACCCATTATCCAACTTCCTAAGCGATCCCGAAGACCGTGAATTTACATCGGAAAGGAAACCACGAAAGCCTCGGTTGTAGACAGCTCTCTGGGAAGGCGAAGTGCTCGCCCCGGGGGCCTTCATCACTAAAGTACACCCTCCATCCCTCCCCGGTCCTTCGGCCCAGATCACTTCAGAGGTCTTTCTCGCCATCCAGCCGGTCCTCAGCTCCCCGACCTCGCCCGGGACCCTCCCGGGACTCCCCTCCCCCGCCTGGCCGCCGCGGTCGGCTCCCGCAGCGACGACGGCTGCACCCACCCGGCTCACCCTAGTGACCCTGAGCGCCATGGCTCCTCCTGGAGAAGAGGCTCGCTCGGCGATCGGAAGCAAAGACCCCGGCCTCCGGCTGGCCACGGGCAAGGACCAACAGCCGTTCCTCCGCAGCACGCCGGGAGGAGCCTGCCGGGCCTGGGTTTAAACCCCGGGCCGCCCCCTCCTCATTGGTCCGTTCGTGGCACTCGCTCCCTTCCCATTGGCGCTGCGAGTTCCCGCAGAATGCGTTTCCTGGGCGATCCCGCGACCACGTTCGGCCGGGGGCGGGGCCAGGGCGAGGCCGCGCCACGCAGCACCGCCCCTCCCTCGCGAGCTCCGGCTCCGCGCCTGCGCACTCGCTGCTCTGAGGCCACCTGCCATAGGTAGGCATGGCGTGCATTGCCCACTTGTGTGCAGTGTGGGGCTAGCCTAGGAGAGTCCTTTGGACCTCAGGGAAATGACTGTGGAGCCTCCACGGTTCAGGAGCACGTGGAACATTTTGGCTCCTCATCCTCTTTTACAAAAGTGCTGATACTTAGAGTTCCTGAAAGGCTTTGATACAGAGACCGTCTTAATTATTTGTTGGAATATTTGATTGTGCCAACAGCTCTCTGGGATGGATATTTGAGATTTACACCATTAAGTTATAGGACATAGATACATAGTAAATAGTTATTATAATTAAACAGGTTAACATATCGATCGTCCTAAAAGTTACTGCCCCAGTGATGAAAGAAAATGTACCTTCTGCTTAGTTTTGCTGTAAGGTTAAGATTCTCCAGGTTTCCTACCGTGAGCTGTCTGTCACCTGACCTCCGGTGGGCCTTGGTGATGCAGCTGTTTTTGAGTCATTTCTGCTTCTGTAACTCCAATAAAACTCATTGATTCATCAAGTTAGACTTTGGTGGTATTCGTACTTCGGTCGGTCATGACCTCCCTATCTGGGTGAGCAGATGTGTGTTTTGTCTGCCCGTAAAAAGCTTTGTCACATGACAGGTGTGATGTAAAACGACTCTCAAGAACTCACTGCTGCACTCACGAATTCACTGCAGCTATGGTTACCTGCACAAAACCAGCCTGTCAGCATTTCATCGTGGATGAGGGAGAGGCTTATGAAGCCCCGTTCCTCCCTTGGACCACTGAGAGTCTGAGACAGGATGAACATAGGTCAGCCTGAGCAATATCGTGAGATGAGTGGGGAGGTATCTTCAGCTACATAGTAAAGTCAAAAGCTATAAGGCCCTTCCTCAAAGAAAAAATAGAGAAGAAAAGATCCAGGATCTTTGATGTAGACAATGGACCCACACAGTAAGTTCACCTGAAACAAAAATCCCACTTGAGTGTACTGTTTTGGTTTTTATTTTTTGACAGTTTCATACATGTACATGATAAATCTTAGTAATTTTCAACCCCCATTATTCTCCCTCATCCCTATCCCTCCTCCATTAAAACCCTTCTTCCTGATGGATGGAACTAGAAAATATCCTGAGTGAGGTAACCCAGACTCAGAAGGACAAACATGGTATATACTCACTCCTAAGTGGATACTAGGTATAAAGCAAAGGATAACCAGACTGCAACCCACAGATCCAGGGAGGCTACCTAGCAGGGGGGACCCTAGGATGACTGTGGCGTATAATAATAAGCTTTGGTTTGGCCCAATCACTGGGCAAGCTTTAGGGAAACATTTCACTATTAAGATAAGAATTTGTACTGTATCAAGCTGATGAAAGAAAATGCTGGCTGTACTTTCAGGAGGGGAGGCTAAAATCTTTTTGGATTATGGATTAGCCTATAGAAAAATGTCTGCCGTAAATCAAACAGTGAAAGGAAATATGAATAGGAATCTTGCTTACACAACTTAAGTAAAACATAGTTCTCTGAACAGATGAAGATAGGTTTCTTCTGTATCCCAGAATCTAATCAGTATTTATATGTATAATTC